GTAATGGTGTTGAAAGTTCATAGTGAATTATGGCTACCCGTGTTACAACACACTTCACCAGTTATTCATACTTGGTCATTCCTACTCCCAAGTCTGCCTCATCTGGCATAATTCGATGATGTGCGGCAGAGATCAAGAGGGTGTAAACAGAACCGAATATCTCTGTTTATCTATATAGAATGTCGAGAGCCACAAAGTTGCGGGTACCGGGTAGCCACTCCGGCAGCGATCCAGAGCAATGGCCCACTACTTGGCTTGGCCTAGCCTGGCGTGGGAAAAGTGAAGGGGAGTTGTGAAATGTGTCGATTCTGTCTGTAGAGGGAGGACACAAGGAGTTTGAACTGCCTGGGCTGTAACATCAGTCCAATTGCTGCTTTCTTGTATGCCAGATAAGCCATAGCCGGGCCGCAGCAAGCGCTTGCTACGTACCATCTGTTTCAAAACCATGAAAGTCCTCTATACCCTGTCATCGCTGCAATATTTCGCTGGTAACCTGCAACCTTGAAACTTTGTGTATCATTATATAGGGCATTGAACATTCATGTTTTCGTTGGTGCTTGGTATGATTTCACAACAATATCAAATTTAATGCTTGCGCTGTTGCTTGTTTTAGGCTATGAGCGTTTAATGTTTGTGTGCAGTTATTGCCCTTCCAGATCACTTACTTCTGGAGTTGTTTTAGAGGAGAAATTTGCCAAGTTATTTTCATTTTCGTTACAGCATTTATACAAAAGTGTCTCTTGCTCAGTGCTTGTGATGAAATAGCGCATTTTGTTTCTCACGAACTTAGCTTAGATTTCAAGTGGTAGTCATCATGTTGTTCACGTGAACTTGATGCTTTCTATTTCTGTTACCCTGAAAAAATCAACTTTGTCGAGAACAAAACGCAATACAGGGAAGACGAAGAATATATGTATGATTGGGCATAGGTCTATGTGCATTTGTCGTGCCTGCGACAGTTGAGGAAATAATTCGGAGATTCCGGTGTAAGGGGATGAGAATGTTTGGTATTATACAACACCTGAATAAATCCCCGTCATCTGATTCATGAATTATTCAGTAGTATCAATTGAAGACGTTCAATATACCGTTCAACGTGCGCTTCGTGGTAGGCACAGTCGCAACTCCTAACACAAACACAATTTTGGTAGATAGCTATGAACATGACGCACCATTCCTCTTTCTGTCAGTTGAGGGATGTTTCTAAAACGTAATTTGTGGCTACACGTTGAATAGAGAGAAATAAAATCACGGGATGTCAAATGATAAGAGCTCTCAGGCTGCAAAACACATAGGAACGCCTGCGCAAAAATATTGAGTTTTGTGTTGCTAAATGGTGATATTTTGTGTACAAACTCAGTGTGTTGACTCTGTGCCCTCTTGGTATCTACATAGACGCATCACTGGTTTTAATGAATAGGGTCCTAAATTGAAACGAAAGGTGTTACATTTTTTTCAGTGTAAAGGCTGCAATACATATGCAAACAATTCAGCAATTAAAATGTCATTGAACTAGCTTGCATTTAGTGGTATACGTCCCGTTTTGAAAATCTAGCTAAGCTGTACATCATGGAACAGATACAACATGCTGACAAGTTCACACAACCAGACAGAAATGACAGGGCTGGGAAAAAGTCATGCGAGTCAAATTCAGGATTCTCCGAAAACGTTGTTTGGTACGCGGGGATTTGTCGGTGTCGTATGTACTTTGGAAAAATGTGAAATCCGGTCTCCTTTTCCTAAAAATTGACCGGGCCTTCCATATCCCTTGAGCTAAAGCAATATACCGAGAGGGCCCAATGTTCCTAGCAATGAAGGGTCTTTTGGAGTGGAGGGAACTGTACTTCGCTGGCTTGCAAATGACTATGACATGGTACGGATTGCGGTCGCAAACTAACAACAAAATGAACACTCCCCACCATCATGAATCCTTTCAACCGATGAGGTGGTGCTGCTGCTCCCGGTGGAATGTTCTCACAGTTCTCGTGGTGCAACTTGATCGGTGCGTGATTTTATTGTTATACTGCGCTTGTTACCGCACCGGATGTTGGTTGAATCGAGGCCCGTTTATCACGTGTGTCTGGTATTCATAACCAAATTCCGATTTTCAGGCCAGAAAAAGGAAAACATCTGGTATTTAACCCTTAATTTTGCAAAGCCATTTCTTGGAACTGTGTGTTATTATATCCCATGAGGTACCCAAAATGTAGTTCGTTCAGGTCAAGTAACAAGACCAGGGTCGGAGCATTATACAGCTTTTGGCACGTGTTCTATGCATAAGACCGTAGAGTCAAGGTTTAGACCTGACGTAGGCTTAATTAACGTCGGTGCGTGGCCGTTTTCCAATATTCAACTTCGTCTCCGTCCTAGGCTTCGTTCCCAAAACCAATCCCCAATTATGGGCCTGAAACGTTTAATTACATTGGATTACCGCAATTTTTGGCTTTCTTGCATCTTATTTGATGTACTGTGGCACTATTGGACTGATTACTATGCTTACATCTTCAAAGTCAGCTAGTAAAAAAACAGTTGAAGCCCGAGAAGGAGCCGAAGTTGAGTATTGGAAAACGGCCCATGTTTCAGGCTGCTTCAGGTCGGTTCAAGCGAAGCGAACTGGATGGCACGAAACCTTTGCAGAAAATCTAAAGCTGATGAGTGTTCAATTTTCGAAAAAAATGGCGCTTATGATCTGACCTAACAAAATCTTGGTGTTGTGTTCGCCTTTGTGACGAGTATAAACCACCCTTTCAATGAGATGAGTTCACGAACATCAAATAGCAATTGACAGCTAGTTATGTACACATGCAGGTAAATTGGAAATTACAAAAAAGGGTTCATTGGTTGCCACGTTTAGTAAACCCAACAAACCACGCTCGGGGAGCAAAAAATCATGAGCGATTTAAAATAGAAATGTGTTTTAGCATCAAAAACATCCACTCCAGCATGCAGCTCTAAAGTAACAATACACAAGCCGAAAGGGAACATAGTGCTGCATACAAGGAGATCTCATCAATCCTGTACAACATGTTTGCAGATAAAAGTTTGTACATTAGGGTTTGCGCTTGATTTCGTTTCCGTAAACGGCTATATTTGTGTAATTCATTAAAGTCAGACATTGGAGTTGGTAGCGATGGCTCATTAGATAATTTTAGACAGCAGAAGTAAACGCGCTTATCACACACAGCATGAGCCTTTAGACAGTTAAAAGTCAATTGTGTTTGTGAGTTCTCTTTCAGTGACCAGAGTATGCTCACACCTCGTCCTCTTGTTGGCGTCTTGCTAACACCGCTTTCAGTGCCTTGGAGGGCTTTGGTATTTTCTCCCATCTACAACGCAGCATCGGCCGGAGTACCCTCTTGAACTGAGGGTGTTTGGCCCCGTAGATGACCGGGTTGACACAGCTGTTGAAGATGACGATAGTACTTGCGTGCAGGGTAACCGTGTCGCTGAGGGGGAAGAACATGCCGATGAAGTAAGGCGACAAGCAAAGCATGAATGCGCAGAAGACCACGAAGAGGTTCTTGGTGATCCTGAGCTGTTGGCGGCTGATTTTGCGCTGTCCACCTCGGCCTTCTTTACTCTCCGCAGTTGCCTCACCAGAAGAGGTCGATGTCACTCTAGCGGTGCTGGGATCCAACTTGACGCTGTTCCTACTTTTGTTTCTTGAAAGCTGTTCCCGGAAATGCCGCCTGATGTAAATATGAATGGCTAGGTAGCTGATGAGGACTGTTGCCATGGGAACTGGAAAGAAACTAATTGTTTGAGCAAGGTTGTATTCATCAGCGCGGGGATGCATGTCGTCGTCTGAGCACGAGGCGTGTTTGACATCGTATCCCAAGCCACCAACTCCAATGGTGAGAGGGAACACAATGACGAAGATGGGGACCAGCCAAGAAAATGTCACGATGCACGCCATCTTGCGGGGAGAGAAGATCCTGTTGTAGGTAGCCAGCGGGCGAGTTAGCCTGACCAGACGGTTCAGCGCGATCAAAGCCAGGTTGTAGAGGCTGGCACCCAGGCCGGTGTGAAACAGGAACGCCGCTATTTGACAGGGGACCTCAGTAGAAAGTGGCCAGGTGCCGTCGCTGAGCATTGCCACGCTTGTCCAAGGCAAAGACAAACTTGTCAACAGATCAGCCACACTGAGGTTGATCACGAGGACGTTTGTCGAAGTCTGGACAAGCTTGCTTAGAATCACCGACAGTATCACCGTAGAGTTGCCCACGACACCAAGGACCGCTACGACAATCCACACGCAGGCTAAGAACACCATCAAACCATAGGAAGGGGACTCAGTCAGTGCATTTGTCGTGGAGGTTGCAGTAACATTCTCCTCGTCAAAACTCCAAGCGAATGTGGAATTCATGGTGTAGCCCTTTGATTTTTTTCGGTCAGAAATCAGTGGTATTGTGGAGAGCCCAGTCGACCAGCTGGTTGAACTCACTCTAATAGGTGTATGGCACAACTTGCAATCCTGACTATATACGCCCGGCGTTCTGTCGTATGACAGCATACGCATGACGAAGACGAAATGAAATTCTGAACTGCATAATTATTCCGCTTAAACTCTCTCATGTAGCATTTTGCGGAAATTGATCCGTAAAAACACGGCATTTCCTAGCGATGACAGTTGAAAGGCTTAAAATATTAATCGTGCACGAGCAGGACAGAAATTTACACGCCGAGAACATGACAAGAAAGGAAACTTTACAGCACAGTTCAACCTCATAGAGATTCCCATTGAACTGTGACCAATGGCTTAGATTTCATGCTCACCGTGTACGTTTGGCAACCCAATAGCCTATCCGTTCGCTGTTGTCTGCTGTTGTCTGAAGAAAGCTTATCGATGCCAGCAGTCAGGGTAAAACGCAAGACAGAAAAAAACAAAGTGCTCGTTTTAGTTCCAAACATGATGTGACTGGTTGATATCGATGTTTGGTTTGTTTACATCACTTAATTTAAGGTAGTTAATCTCACTGTTTGTGCAACACGACTGTAGGCCTATATGAAATAACTGTAAGTCATAAAGACGAAACTGATCATCTTAGAATAATCCCTTCAGTAACATCATGACGTCATTATTTTAAAACCTTATACAAAAAGAGTACTTATGACTAACAAGTGTTTTTTTCCTCTTTCGTATATCGTGAAAGTATGGTATAATCACAAATGTCAAGCATTTTCCACTGGTACGTTATAAGATGTCGCCCTCTCATGTTATGACGTCAGCAGTCCTTGTATACTACCCTAATTTCAACTCTTGACATATTAGGAATCTAGTTAAATCCATGTACCTGCACTTCCAGTTACCCTATAGGAGTCGAGGTCATGTGATATTCTGCTGCAATTAGAGTCGCCTAATATGTGCTCTATTTAACATATGGATGTGCTATACCTCATTCAGTTTCAAAATTTTAATTGATAAAATTTCTTGTAGGCCTACTTTACTTTACTCAGTAATTATACAAATTCTTTTAAACTGATACTTGATGACGTCATAATGTTTTGTACACTCGACCTCATTATGTTAATACGAGGTTTCACGATAATATTCTAAGATATTTAAATACGTTGATCAACGTGTTGATTTGTTCCAAGCATTTAAAATGTACCTGAACTTTGACCTTTTATACTGCGGAAGTGAGGACCAGCCAACTTCGACACTCAAACAGAATTTCTGAGAAAAGTTGGTCGTTTTGGAAAGTGCAGTTGTTTGCCGCTTTATACCTGATAATGCATTATCATGATGTTATACTTGTTTAATGCACATCTACGGATCAATGTTGATATTTGTGTCAGGCTTGAAGTTTCTGGGGAGATGTTTGATTCGATGCAGGTGTGGAAAAATGAAAAGAGCTGATTAAAGTGAGCAATCCTCCAAACAAAAATTGGATATAACTTAGGCCTACGGGATGAAACGAAAGATAAACAAAACGAGGAAATGGCTTTGAGCGCTTCATTGCTTTACATATAGATATTGTAAACACAACTAAAATACGCATAAACGTAAAAAATACAGGCCCGCGTGAGACTAACAGCTGAAGAATCACTTCTGCTTTATCCTCTCCCAGCAAAGAGTACTGAAAAAATAATAAAGATAAGGGTTGGGAAACAACTTCTAAAAAAATGAGTTACAACGTGCTACCATCGACAGAACCGGCTTTCGCTAACCCCAATCGAATTTAACATTTGTTTCTTGACAATGTCATGTCTAATCGGGCATATAAATTTGAGTAATATACGATATTGATAAAAACAGTGTTACTTCAATCCTTCAAAACTCGCACGCACAGAATAATCATATGTACAAGACGGTTTCAATACATATTCCTTTGGGACGTTTCAATGTTCGCATCGTTAACACAAGACAGTAATCTGTCCATGTATGGACGTCATGGTATGGACGTCACATTTAAGTTATTTATCGACAAAAATGCTTCAGACATGCCTACTTTACAACAAAAATCGTAATTTCAACAACGTCATGTCTCCAACTGGAATTTCAAAATGCATTTGGCAAACGAGTCTTCATAAGTTTCTCCGGGGTTATCTTTGCTAATGTTCCCATCATGCAGTTACAACTTGTTCATAATACACGTACATAAGTATTGTCCAAGAATGAAATGCATCTGTCTGTTATTTTCGAGATCATAACCTTGAAAGAAAAAGTATTCATTCGTTGTAAATACAACTGCAACACTGAGACTGTCGTCATTTTTGCCCTGGTTCTGTAGTCTGACTTCTCAGCCAATGCCTTGGAAAATGGCCCAAATTCAAGGTAAAATCAAAGAAAGTGTACATATACGAAAAAAAGTAAACGAGAAAAATAATTAGAAGAGTACGAGATTTCAATACGCTTGAGCTGAAAATTCTTAATATGGACAAATATGTATATTATAATTTTAAAAGATAACAGTTTCAACAAAAATACCAAAATAACACCAAATAAATATTTGTATGTGTATCTCCAACAAATACTTTTTTCAATACAGACAATTCAAACGCTTGTACTTCTACTTTCGACCGTTACACTTGTATATGATGTAGTTTATACAGAAATCCCCAATGCTTATTAAATTAAACATTAAACATGTAAACATCGCATAAAATGATGTCCTTTGCGAGCACTGAGATTAAATCGTATACTGTGCTATGATCTTTTCAAACATAGGATTTGTTCGCTTTTACTTTTTTAATGCTCGCAATTTTTGTCTACAAACTTCATATTTTGTACAGTTTTTTTATATAATGCTGTAAAATTTTGATCTATTCCAGAATAATAATCCTTCACTTTAATCGAGAAAAAAAACAAGCAAATCGGGGATGCGCAAAGTCAGAATTTGTGATTCAACAATGTTCTTAAAGTTTACCGTGCAATTTTAACTATAGAGGTAACTCCTCCTCTGACGCATGGTGAATGTCTGTTCACACAGTCCGCTCTTGTTGACCTCTCCGGATCGCTTGAAGCGCCTTGGACGGCTGAGGTATTTCCCCCCACTTACAGCGTAGCATCGGACGGAGCACTTTCTTAAACTGAGGGTGTTTGGCCCCGTAGATGATCGGGTTGACGCAGCTATTCAGAATCAGGATTGTGGCCCCATATAATGCAAACCCCATGCTGGACGAAAAGAAAAGTGAGACGTGGTAGGGGGATATGCACAGCGTGAACGCGCAGAATGCAATGAAAAGGTTTTTCGTTATCTTGAGCTGTTGTCGGCTGATACGGCATCTTTCATCGCGATCGCCTCTGCGTTCTGCTGTAGCCTCTCCCGAAACCGTTGGCGCTGATGATGCCATACCAGCAGTGCTGTTGTGTGGGGTTAAGGTGTTCTTGTTATTCCTTTTTGGAAGCTTTTTTTTGAAGTGCCGCCTGACGTGAACATAGGTGACAAGATAGCTGATAATGACCGTGGTCATGGGGACAGGGTAGAATCCGATGGTCTGGGCGAGGTTGTACTCATCAGCACGGGGATGCAGGTCGTCATCGGAGCACGAGTCAAGTAGGAGATCATAGCCCAAGCCCCCGACTCCAATGGTGAGAGGGAACACGATGACAAAGGTTGGGACGAGCCAGGAAAAGGCCACAATGCACAGCATCTTGCGGGGAGAGAAGATCCTGTTGTAGGTAGCCAGCGGGCGAGTTATCCTTACCATACGGTTGAGCGCGATAAAAGCCAGGTTGTAGAGGCTGGCACCCAGGCCGGTGTGAAACAGGAACGCCGCTATTTGGCAGGGGACCTCAGTGGATAGTGGCCAGGTGCCGCCGCTGAGCCTCGCCACGCTGGACCAAGGTATAGACAAACTTGTCAACAGATCAGCCACACTGAGGTTGACCACAAGGACGTTGGTCGAAGTCTGGACAAGTTTGCTCAGAATCACTGACAGGATCACCATGGCGTTACCTGCAACACCAAGGACCGCTACGATGGCCCACGTGCAGGCTACAAACACAAGCACACCACGGGTATAAAGTTCAACCGGTGCGTCATTCGTTGAGCCTGCGGTAGCATTTTGCTCTTCAAGATTCTCAGGCAAGGTTGAATTCATGACTTGGCTTCAGAGTCTAATTACATGAAAGTGAACAGAACTATTTGCCTAAACTGCTTAATTCTGTGACGCCGCGCCCCTCCGACGAAGTCGAGGGCGCCCTCCTCCTCGAGGCGCGGTGCGTCGGACGGCACGCCGGAGAGTCCCTGAGCGGCTAGGGACGAGTCTGTTGGGACCGAAGTATACCGTCCCCCAAGAAAGTTGGTCTTCGTCGAGATGATGGCTAATCTGATTGGTCGAAACTTAATGACGTAACCTGGACAGACCTGACTTGAAATAAACTTCGCCTGGACTTCTGACTTATATACAACAATTAACAAGCAGCTGGTTTATTCATCAACACACTCAACCAATACACCAGTAGAGGGCGCTATTGACGGGGCGACTGTGTGATTATACGTGACCCAGACTTCGCCCAGAGCAGCGAACACCACAATGAATTGTGGGCATCCAGTGCCGAATCAGGGACTTTAGGAAGTCTACGGGGCTTATTGTCAGGGCTGCGCTACGCAACTCACGTCACGAGATAGCAATTCGCCTTTGCATCGACCGCAAGCTCCTATCAGGAACTATACCGCACCACGAATCAGCCCCTCAACCTACTGAGCCCCTCAACAACACACGCACCACTCGGACTAAGGCACAAGTCACACTAGGCTAGGTAACTTTAACCCTTGCACAGCGCTTCTCGACCCTTACCTCAGGATGAGCCCTTGTTCAGTATCAGAACGACTAAGCCTTGCTTGCGCGTGCCTTTTACGGCCTTTGCGCTGCTGTGACCACGCCCGCGCACGCGTCTGCTGCCCTATCGCACAACGCACAATGCGGAGCCTATGTGCCGCGCTTGCTTAACACACAGCTATGCGCGCCTAGCATCGCCTCTGTTACTGGGCAGAGCGCCATCTAAAACGTTGCACTGCGCTTAGTGACTTGCGCCCTCTGTCACGTCACAATACAGTCAGTCATAAAGTCGACAAATCTTGTCGGCGGACGCCCTCCGTACAAACCTCATTCGCAGCAGGACAAAAAGTACCCACAGTATAGTTTGGACTCCCTTACTCCAAACAAAAAACCTGAAAGTGATTTATGCCTGCCCGATCGTTCTTTATACTTACGTGAAGTAACACTACACGAATGAGTTAAGCTGTAAACAACACTAAAGAAGTGACAGTTGAAGCAGATGCACAAACCACGTGATCCACGAAGTTTAGGTTTACACAAAACCAGAGAAAAAATAATCAAAACGGGAATCAGATATGATAACGAGCCTAACGTGGTTTCAAACCTGTTTTGGCCACGAATACAAGAATAGCAAGTCACAGAGTGGTATGCGTGAGGAGGACAGGGAGTCCCTGGACCCAAGTCCTGGAAACGCCACCACAGTCACGCGCGCAGACCGAACATTGCCGGCCAAAACCATGTCCACAACCATAGTCATGGGAGCAATCGTGCACGCTTGAATCCCATCACAAGTATAAACATTTCAGATAAACACGGATGCATCTCAAAGAAAACATCAAAATAAGATGTGGATTATTAAGCACGTGACATGGTTATAGTGGCACAAAAAGGAGCCACCCCCAACGTCTGCATCTGTTTAGAGAAACCGTCCAATAATCCTTTGTAGCCATTCCTTTCTGGACCTCAGAACAAAGATGTCCACACGACAGAGGAAGTGAAGACGTCGTGTGAACAGCTACACAGTCATTTAAGGGGGGGGGACACTTTCGTATACGTTTTAGGATTATTTTCATCTGAGCCCGCACCAAGTCAGTCTTGCTAAGATCAGGTGTACTACCCTGGCGAGAAACTGGCGAGAGGCTACCTGATGGGCCCAAATATTGGTCAACCCAGTCACGGTTACGCATTTGAGGGCTCTGACCACATGTACCGTGATCACCAGTCCTGCGTCTTCTTTGCGACCACGTGGAGAGGAAAGGATGTTGTCAGGGAGGTAAAGTGATTAACCCTGAAAGAGCCGAGTTTTTTTGGCCTGGTCACAACGGGGGGGGGGGGATCCGCAGCCCCCCGATCTTGTACTTCAATGAAATTTGGCAGTGTCATAGAGGCATCCATACTTATCATCTGTGTGAACTTTCATGTAAATTAATTAAGTCTTTGCATAATTGTGACTAATTGATTATTCATGGTAGGATACCACTCTGTCCTATGTACGGTGTACTGCTGTGTACAAAGTCATGGTAAATGTTACATCACGCTTCACCCTGCCTTCTAAAATTCGTCGCTGAGAGAACACGTCCGATTTTCATAAATTTGGGATCAAAATGAAGCTGAAACATTGGAAACAATTTTCATGAAGTATTAGCACGCAGAAAATAATCTTAGAGATGCTTTAAGAACAAATCAACGGGGGGGGGCGGATTCCGCCCCGGCTCTTTGAGGGTTAAACGCAGGTCCAAAGTGTAGTTGAACTCTTCTTTGGCTATACCAAGTGCGAAGGCGGCAGGGTTCGTTAGGCTCGAAGTGGCTTGGCAGAGGTCACTGCGGAGCGACAGGCATTATGAAATACCCGGGCATTTTTGGAACAGGCCTACGTGGTTATTGTATGATAAAGGGTGAGGGAGAAGTTGGAAACATTGCCGTAGGCCTGGGTGGGTGGTTGGGTGTGTGTATCTGAGTTTGTTTCTGCATTCAATAGGGGACCCTGAACAATANGTTCAAAACATATGGGTGGTCTTCTAAAAAAGTTGAAGTACAAACAAAAGAGGAACAATAGGGGGTCCCCAGTTGCAGGCAAATACACACTTGTGTGTGTGGAGGGGGGTATTTTGTGGGGCTACCGTTGAAACAAGAGAGCTCTATTGGCATACGAACCCCCCTTCTCGTACTTGGGTGCCTATCGTTATCATGCTTCTACGGGTATCTGTAGATCTACTACTTGCTTGCATCGTAATCCAGTCTCTGAGTCAGATTTAACCACTTAAATTCACTTTTAAGTTAAAGAGGGGTATGTTTTTCTATCGTGTGTTTGTTTATTATTTTGTCATTCGATGAATGAGATTTTTCAACACTTGGAGATTAAGATAAGTTTATTCTTTTGCTTTTGTAAAGACGGCAAGCCACATTTCTATCAGCCTATGTAGGCCCCCCAAAAAAGTGATGTAAAAGGAGCATACCCTGTCGGAGTAGCCATTTCGCGAATACGCATTACGCTTGCGCACATTCTATCGACTGGTCCCGCCATTTATTTTACTTGGCTCGTCCAGCCCCCCCCCCCCACCAGTCCTGTGGGCGCGCAATCCACCAAATGGTCGTATTTCTGCATGCGAACTCAGTAATATATTGTGATCCCACGGTTTTTTACAATAAGACATGCAATAATCAGGAGGGATCATAGAAATATTACTGTAAATCCCGAATTTGGGACTGATGTTTCCAATATGGATATTTCTTTCACAAAAAGCCCAAATTGGATAGAGGATTTTGGATAGAGGTGAGCGGCTACATTCAGAGCTAGCTGAGCGCATAGTTTTACGACTATTTTGGGTGTGTCTTCGGAGAAAGGCGAATAAAAGGGTTTCGTGGTTAACCCCCATAAAATTGAAACGAAAAGTGATCTTCTGGCCATAATCTTGAATATCCAGTGAAAAAAAACGGAGGCCAACCTCTTCACAAACTTCAACAGGCGGCGCTACTTCGGTCTGATTTTGTATTGTTTTCTATGGGCGCGTATCTGGGTGACGGGCGATCAGCCACGTTCTTCGCCAGCCGCTTGAGGGCGCCAATTAAGATGGCAGCCTCCATGGAAAGGGCCTCACAAAAACATGGGGAATGAAATTGCACAAAATGTCAACAATTTCCCAGTCGACGAAGCAGACGCCTGCTTGCTGGATATCCTCCCCAATGAATTACTACTATATTTGCTTAGGTTCCTTCCAACGATAGATTTGTTATCGATTTGTAAGGTAAATCGCAGACTAAATGACATTTGCGTGGATTCAGCTTTGTTGAGGTAGGCATTACGATCACGCATGCTCATGACTCTGAGATATCGATATAACTTACATGTAGGCCTATAATCCTTACTGCTAATACCGCATGGCTGATTTTGCCCAATGGTAGACAGGCATTGTGTGAAGGAAAATGGGGTAACGTTTCCGCCGTTTTCCGTTCCATCTTTCCCATGATTGATGTTACACCTTTCAGTTACACCATTTCTTTTTCAAATTGCTGCTTAATATGAGATAAGTCTGATGTAATTAAGGTGTCCTTTGAAACTAAAAATCCTGGGAAAGAGTTCCATATACAGACAATGACAGACAACACTAATTTTCCCTTAAAATGTTACAGCAGCTGTCAGAAAGTTATAAACATATCCTAAACCGTGAAGTTTAGATAAGAAATTCTAAATCATTAACTTACAAAACACCAAGGTTTTTCCAGACAAGTGTTGTCCGTATATGGAACTTTTTCCAAATTTCCCACTGGTGGAACAAGATGCGGGCCAAATGATATCGAGCCATTTACTTTGGTGATATTCGTCACTGCAAAATTGCCGGGAACCATAGCATCAGACCTTGTAAATGAAATCAGACAGTTGTAAAAAGATCACAAAAAACCTACATGTACTTAATCTTTCTTTTGAGGTACATAAACTCTGTAATATCACTCTGTATTCCGCACATGCAGACTGTATATACATGTATTCTGGTCACATCTTTTTTATGATTTCTGGAAGGGTTTCAAGCAGAATTGAACTCTATATAGTAGATGACCCCACTTTGTTTGAAATGAGACAGTCAGATGATTTATTCAGTTTATCTATTTTTGTGGCAGATATGCTGATTTTCAAAAATGCTACCGTGTGACTCCCCACGCGCTTGAAGAAGTGGCATGTCATTCCAAGCGAACAACAGTCCAAAGTTTGAACATCTCTCACTGCTTTTGGCTGACGGGCCACCAGACACACATAGGTGCTCTGAACCCACTCATGCCACACTTGGAATGTCTTGACATCCGGGGGATTTCCGTGTCCCTGAAGACCCTGAATCGGATATTGTCCTGTGCCAGGTCCCTCAGGTCACTGTCCTATGAACATCCAGGGCTGGTGCAGTCAAGGCAGTTCAGCAAGCAGGCCCTGGCAACCTGGTCTCAGCTCACTGAGCTGAACGTAGTCGTCACCAGCAACTGCCTGCATGGCGCCATTTTCTGGCTGTGCACAGGCCTGCGAGCCTTCAGCCTGGCCACTTCGCACCAGGCGCTGGGGTCACACACCTGCCTGTGTGACGATTTGCTGTTCAGTAGACTTCCCCTGCACCAGCTGGAGTACCTGTCGGTTGCTGAGGAGGCCGCTGCCCAGCACCCGCGGAGTTGCCAGTGGAAATTCTTACGGTGGAGAGTGCTCCTGGGCCAGATGAAAGCCCTGTGTGTCTTGCCCTCCCTCCTGGCGGGGAACCTGCGAGATGCACCAGACTGGGACACGGATCCAGGATGTGCCCCAATCCTGTCCCTGGAGATGGACACTCACTGCCACTTTGCCACCTTGGAATCCCGCAGACTGCAGAGCATTCGGCACCTTGGTGTTGAATTGAAACACAGATGCCTGACACATGAGTTCCTCACTTCGATAAGCAAGTTCTCTCATTTGAGAAGTCTGAACATAAGTGGGTTCTTTGCATACACGCACAACAGGGTTTTCAAAGACGTGAGTCCAATTAAGCTATTTCCTTGAAAGGCTGAAATGGGATAAGCTTTGCATAATGCAGTGAGCAGACATTCTTAAATATTGGCGAGGTTTACAAATTGTTTTTTTTTACATGTATGTTTGACTCCTACAGAAGGAAGATTTTTTAATGCTCGTTAAGGTTCTTGTGGAGGCACAGATCCCATTGGAACATCTGAATATGAGCAATATCAGAAAGGGGTACTTGCATGAACAGGGCACAACCAATTGTCTTGGCTTACAAATTGGGCAGTTGAGAGGTGAGTTGAAAGATAATTTTAAAAGCTAGAACTGTCTAGAAATTATGTCATGTACTTTTTAAATTAAGCAGCTTTATACATGTATAAAGCTACCATTGCTTCAAAATCTGTTCAGTGTAAATGACTACCAGATGGCATTTGGACTAAAATCGAACCGTTTTTTTTTTCAGGGTTGACAAATTTTTTTAATTTCGACACAAAGAAAATTTGGTTTGGATTTTCTATAGTATAAATTAGATTTTCTTTATTGTCATAAAAAATGGACTTTAGTCAGCTTAACTTTATCTATTCCAAAGCAAGCAAATCATTTCTTTGAGGACATTTTTTGTGGAAATCACAAACCACCTGAACCAAATGCTGCCAGGTGCTTTCAATCACTTCCTGCCGGGGAAACCGAATCCAGACACGTATGCTTTATATGAGTGGCTGGGGTCTCTGAACTCGGACAAAGGGAACAGGGCCTTGTAACAAAAGACCGTACTTGGAACAAAAGACCAGGCTGCTGGGCATTGCCAACATTTTTTCACTCTCAAAGTTCGAGATAATCCAGCCCTGTCTTGAAACAGTATACCATGGTTTAGGGCATTTAGAGCGAGCAGATTACCACTGGGTACAAAAGCGCTCCACCACCGCAGTGATGAGCCACACAGCACCTCTGCATGCACATCTGGCCCCTATTGAAAAGAGGTCAGCAGTGCACTGAGCCAGGTTCGTGAACAAAAGAATATTACATAACACCACAAAATCTGGGCTCTTTTTACAAGGCTGCAGGCCTGGCTGAAATACTCAGGCGTTGATAGATTTTGTCTGTCTGGCTAGAGTGGACACCAGACATGCCTTCTCGTGTTTGTAAGTGTCCAGTAAATGAAGATAGGAATTTTTAAAGAATTTTGAAAACAGAAAAAAATGATAAATATCCCGCCCCGGCATCATCAACATTGATAAATGCCCCGGCAGGAAGTGGTGAAAAATGCAGTGCACACATACGGGCGACTTTCAAGATTTTCAGTTTTTAAAATTCTTCAAAAATTCGTCATTTCATTTAATGGATGTTTACATCCACATGAATGACTCTTTGGTGGCTATGCTCGGCTGGCAGGTACATGTAACCTTCATTGACTCCTGAATATTTCAGCCAGGCCTGCCATCCTGTGAAGAGAACCCAGAATTTTGAGGTGTTGCATAATTTCCTTTGTCCCAGTGAACGCCAGTGGCGTCTTTTTGAACACAGCTGGATTAGCATGCAGTGGTGCTGTGTCACTTATCAATGGGGCCCTGGAGCACTTTTGTCCGTGGTGCTAATCTGCGGGTGCACTATGCCCAAATCAGTGGTATACTGTTTAGAAACAGTGATGGATTACCTTTGATAAATGCAAACCGAAAAATGATGGCAATTCCCATATGCAGCAAGGTATGAGGCGATGAGAACCCTCCCTGCTTTGTGTTGGTCATTGTCTCGCAGGAATCTGGGGAATTCCTTTTAGACATCTTGGGGGGATGTGTTAAGTAACAATAGTCTGGAATGTGTATAGGGATTGGACATGTTGGGGGGTACGCCTCGGTCTCATTTCTTGCTGGGTATAGCAATTCCAGCAGCAGGTCTCTTGTTCCGAGTACGGTCTTTTGTTACACGGACCAGCTCTTCTGTCCCATGTCAGGCACCCAGGCTCTGTGTATAAACTCATGGTGTTTGAAACGGGGTTCCCTGACAGCAAGTGGTTAAATATTGTCTTGGCCCAGGTGAAATGCACGCAGTGTGGCGCTTACATGTACCCACACAAAAGGCAATTCCTTCTGAGATAGAGGTTCATGTATGTATCAAAGGTAAAAATCCATACCAAATTTAAAGTGACAGAACTACATGTAAACTAGAGTTCACAGGATTTTGTTTACAAGGAGGGGAAAAATGGCAGGAATCACATGTACATTTGTCAGGGATGAGATTTTTCAGCTTTTTAGCTGATTTCGGCTTTTTTTGTTTTAGATTTCAGCTTTTTTTCCTCACTGGCTGTGTACAAAAGTATAGGAGATTTTCACAGTTCAGCTTCTTTATGCTTTTTTAAGCTGTTTTCAACTATTTTTACCATTGGTCACCCCCGATGTGCGTATTTATTTTACATGCCGTATGTAGGTACAAAATGTTCATAGTTTACCTCGCTCTAATGTGTGTAATCAGCAGTCTCTTTTGTTTGTGGTCCATCTCATTTGTGATTAATCAATAACTCTGGTTTGAGTTTGACTCACTTTATTGAGAACATTTATTTTCTGGTTTTGGTGTCACTATTTATTGAATTTGAATCTCAATGAAATACAAATATATACTTGTGGATACAAAAGATTCATGTTCACTGATGCTTCACCACTTTCAAGGAAATGTAAATCATGATCATGATTCCTTACATGAAATTCATTCATTGAATCCAAAAAGCTGATTGAAATCAAAACAAGTGGCTTGAATTTGACAAAAATCCTTCCAACCCAAAATGTATAATATATATGCATTCATACTTCTTATCAATAGGGGATTTGCTGCTTAAAATGTGCAAAAACTGGAAAAATTACCAGGAGATTAGTTGAGGAAACAAAATTTAAATAATGAAACATTTTGCTCTTGTTTAAAAACATTTAAAGTGATGTAAATCTGTGATTAAAAAATATCATTTTAATTTAAATTGCAACTTAAATCTGTGATTTTAAATCAAGTTTATTTAAACCGGTCAACCCTGTTCTTATTTTCTTGGAAACAAAATTGACAGATATGAAAAATATTTTAATTTAGTAACTCTTTTCCGCACATGTACATGTAGGTCTGAAATCTCTAGCATTGCCTATATGTGGGCTAGCAGATCAAAGTAAATCACAACCAGTTTGGATGATGTCATCGCAAGAATCAGCCAATCCCAATGGTGTACTTGATTACCATACCACTAGTTCCAATAAGCGCCAGCGAGTTGGTTCCAAGGCCTGCACATACATCATGTAAGTAGTACACCATAATGGTCAAGTACTGCTGTTGGTCAAGTGGAGATTGCAAGAGGATGTTTATTGTTGATATGATAAAGGGCGGCCATGAGATTTCCTTAGAGAACTAAGCAGGGAATTATTCTTATGGTCTTGCACTTAAAGCCAACGGTAGTTTTACCAGCCAAAAATAAGCGAAATATAAACGTGATGTAGAAAGCGCAGACTCCATAATGCCACAGAATAATTCTTCCACCTTGTCAACATTGTAGGTGTGAGAATTGCGTGGCTGAAGTTGAGTGCCCAGCTGGTCAAAGAACACTGGCAGAGGTAAAGGAATATCATTGACTCTCAACATGAGGGATGTATTGTAGTGCTATGTTGTTCAGTTCTTTTCTCAGATCCCATATGCGTGATTCCAGAAATTAGGGGTCCATTTTTTTGGTGTCCCTGTCACATACGACATTTGATTTTGTAAGTGAGGAACACATTTTCTAACTTACAAGAGTGATGAATTAATGCAAATTACCTGCCAAACAAATAGTAACAGTTTGAAATCAATTTTGGTGATATTTCCATGTCAAATAACAAAGGTCAGATGTAACAGGGACACAAAAATGTCATACTTTTGGACCCCTTATTTCTGGAATACCGATATAATTATACTGAAATGTAGTGAACAAATTTAATTTAATTTCAATGTGAGAGAGAAGAAAAAAAAATTCATTTTGAACTTGGTAGCAACATCCCAGAGAAGTATTCCAGGGAAAAGTCTATGGAATTAGGTAGGGGCTGGAAGTCCAAGAAAAAAAACCCCAAAAAAGCCAACCTGACTCTGCCTGTATAAAAGTGCATGTAGCAGGAATCAGGCTGCTGTGCCAAGGCAGTGTTAGGGGCTGTCTTGGGGCAGTGTTAGGGGCAGNAATACTCAGGCATCGATAGATTTTGTCTGTCTGGCTAGAGTGGACACCAGACATGCCTTCACGTGTTTGTAAGTGTCCAGTAAATGAAGATAGGAATTTCTAAAGAATTTTGAAAACAGAAAAAATGATAAATATCCCGCCCCGGCATCATCAGCATTGATAAATGCCCCGGCAGGAAGTGGTTAAAAATGCAGTGCACACATACGGGCAACTTTCAAGATTTTCAGTTTTTAAAATTCTTCAAAAATTCGTCATTTCATTTAATGGATGTTTACATCCACACGAATGACTCTTTGGTGGCTACTCTCGGCTGACAGGTACATGTAACCTTCATTGACTCCTGAATATTTCAGCCAGGCCTGCCATCCTGTGAAGAGAACCCAGAATTTTGAGGTGTTGCATAATTTCCTTTGTCCCAGTGAATGCCAGTGGCGTCTTTTTGAACACAGCTGGATTAGCATGCAGCGGTGCTGTGTCACTTGTCAATGGGGCCCTGGAGCACTTTTGTCCATGGTGCTAATCTGGGGGCGCGCTATGCCCAAATCAGTGGTATACTGTTTAGAAACAGTGATGGATTACCTTTGATAAATGCAAGCCAAAAAATGATGGCAATTCCCAGCAGCAGGTCTCTTGTTCCGAGTACGGTCTTTTGTTACACGGACCAGCTCTTTTGTCCCATGTCAGGCACCCCGGCTCTGTGTATAAACCCATGGTGCTTGAAACGGGGTTCCCTGGCAGCAAGTGGTTAAATAATGTCTTGGCCCAGGTGAAATGCATGCAGTGTGGCACTTATATGTACCCACACAAAAGGCAATTCCTTCTGAGATAGAGGTTCATGTATGTACCAAGGGTAAAAACCCCTACCAGATTTAAAGTGACAGAACTTCATGTGGACTAGAGTTCACAGGATTTTGTTTACAAGGAGAGAAAAATGGCAGGAATCACATGTACTTGTGTCAGGGATGAGATTTTTCAGCTTTTTAGCCGATTTCAGCTTTTTTTGTTTTGGATTTCAGCTTTTTTTCCTCACTGGCTGTGTACAAAAGTATTGGAGATTTTCACAGTTCAGCTTCTTGATGCCTTTTTCAGCTGTTTTCAACTATTTTTATCATTGGTCAATCTCACCCCTGATGTGCAAAATGTTTGTAGTTTACCTCGCTCTAATGTGTGTAATAAGCAGTCTCTTTTGTTTGTGGTCCAGCTCATTTGTGATTAATCAATAACTCTGGTTTGAGTCAAACTCACTTTATTGAGAACATTTATTTTCTGGTTTTGATGTCACTATTTATTGAGTTTGAATCTCAATAAAATACAAATATATACTTGTAGATACAAAAGATTCATGTTCACTGATGCTTCACCGCGTAAATTCAGAAGGGACACTTTCAAGGAAATGTAAATCATGATCATGATTCCTTACATGAAATTCATTCATTGAATCCAAAAATCTGATTGAAATAAAAACAAGTGGCTTGAATTGAACAAAAATTCTTCCAACCCAAAATGTGTAACATATATGCATTCATACTTCTTATCAGTAGGGGATTTGCTGCTTAAAATGTGCAAAACCTGGAAAAATTACCAGGAGATTAGTTGAGGAAACAAAATTTAAATAATGAAACATTTTTGCTCTTATTTAAAACATTTAAAGTGATGTAAATCTGTGATTAAAAATTATCATTTTAATTTAAATTGCAATTTAAATCTGTGATTTTAAATCAAGTTCATTTAAATCGGTCAACCCTGTTCTTGGAAACAAAATTGACAGATATGAAAAATATTTTAATGTAGTATCTCTTTTCCACACATGTACATGTAGGTCTGAAATCTCTAGCATTGCCTATATGTGGGCTAGCAGATCAAAGTCAATCACAACCAGTTTGGATGACGTCATCGCAGGAATCAGCCAATCCCGATGGTGTACTTGATTACCACACCACTAGTTCCAATAAGCGCCAGCGAGTTGGTTCCAAGGCCCGCACATACATCATGTAAGTAGTACACCATAATGGTCAAGTACTGCTGTTGGTCAAGTGGATATTGCAAGAGGATGTTTATTGTTGATATGATAAAAGGCGGCCATGAAATTTCCTTCAAGGTTTTGCTTAAATGAAGAGAACTAAGCTGGAAGTTATTCTTATGGTCTTGCACTTAAAGCCAACCGTAGTTTTACCAGCCAAAAATAGGCGAAATATAAACGTGATGTAGAAAGCGCAGACTCCATGATGCCACAGAATAATTCTTCCACCTTGTCAACATTGTAGGTGTGAGAATTGCTTGGCTGAAGTTGAGTGCCCAGGTGGTCAAAGAACGCTGGCAGAGGTAAGGGAATGTCGTTGACTCTCAACATTAGGGGTGTATTGTAGTGCCATGTTGTTCAGTTCTTTTCTCAGATCCCATATGCGTGATTCCAGAAATTAGGGGTCCATTTTTTTGGTGTCCCTGTCACATACGACATTCGATTTTGTAAGTGAGGAATACATTTTCTAACTTACAAGAGCGATGAATTAATGCAAATTACCTGCCAAACAAATAGTAACAGTTTGAAATCAATTTTGGTGATATTTCCATATTTCAAATAACAAAGGTCAGATGTAACAGGGACACAAAATGTCATACTTTTGGACCTCTAATTTCTGGAATACCGATATAATTATACTGAAATGTAGTGGACAAATTTAATTTAATCTTAATGTGAGAGAGAAGGAAAAAAAAAGGTTTCATTTTGAACTTGGTAGCAACATCCCAGAGAAGTATTCCAGGGAAAAATCTATGGAATAAGGTAGGGGCTGGAAGTCCGCAAAGATGTTCCCTCCCCCCCCAAAAAAGCCATCCTGATTCTGCCTGTAAAAAAGTGCATGCAGCAGGAATCAGGCTGATGTGCCGAGGCAGTGTCAGGGGCAGTGTTAGGGGCAGTGGTAGGGGCAGTGTTAAGGGGAGTGTTAGGGGCAATGGTAGGGGCAGTGTTAGGGGTAGTGTTAGGGGCAGTGTTTGGGGTAGTGTTGGGGGCAGTGTGCTGGCATGGCATACATAGTGTGGACCACTGCACAAAAGAAGTCCACATAATGTAAGGTGAGATGGCATTGTGTGGACTTGCACACATCCACACAATGTTTTCCCCTTTCTGAAAAACAGTTTCAGAGGCATTTTGGGGTCAAGGTTAATGTGTGGCAAAATGAAGAGGAACAGTCCAGGAAATCATCATCAAAAATCCAGCTTGAAGGAGTTATCCTAGTTGGAGAAAAAGGAGCATTTTCCTCAAGTTTCGTTAATAACCACAGGAGAACAAAGAAATGCCCACACTTTGTATGCTAAACAGGTATGGGTGTAAGGGGCAGCATTTGGGGCACACAGATGACTTGGTAGCTTTCAGGATAGTTTTGCTGAGGGACTCTGATTCCAGTCTTTGTCATTTTGGTATTGCTGGGACACATGCACATGTAACTGTTAGCACAGACAATCCAATTCAGTCTCAGGCTGCATCCGAATCTCTTGTCTAGAGCTAGCTCTAGGTCTTCGCTCCATTGGAAAATGCTTGGAGATGCATAGACAATAGACTAGCCGTAGCTCTGGAAGCCCGTTTTGGACACAGCCTCATACTCAAAAGCAAAGCACCCCAAACAGTTGTAAAACTTCATTCCTGCTGGACCCCCTCACATGCTTTGCTGTTCTGAAATGCCATCATATGGTGTGTGGCGATGTCCAAAGATCTGTATCAAGTTATTTTGATGTGGATAAAATGAGACAACTGGCCATCTCTTTCAAACATTTTGGGTGCAGAAAATCTGGATTTGTGGAATATGAATCATTAGACAAATTATACTTTGTGTTGTAATGGAAATAAATGTATTGAAACTAGAACTAAACTCACTAAACTAGAAAAATCCAGCTCCAAATGAAAGCTTGGCCAATCAGCAGTAGCATTGTTGTAGAGTTGGAAACGGTGGAAAAACAGCTTTATACTGACGCTTCTTATTTCACTACATTTGCAGAGCTATTGCTGTGCATGTGTTTAGGAGATTTTAAAAGACTTTTTATCTACTACAGAACATTGCAGTAACTCCAACATTGCTGCCATGTTTTGGACAGCCCAACCATGGCACTTGTACTATTCTCCAAGTATTGTCCGGAGTCATCTACCTTTTGGGTACTTAAAGTTTAAATCAGGGACATCGAACCTTAATAAAAAATATCTGCACCTTGAAACATTGAATTCCATTCGTGGATGTGCTTCAGGACAGTACCACTAACAGTGGTAGGTGCATCTACTGTGGCAGTAACCTGGCCCAGGTTGTCAGCGGCACACCCCTGATGGAATGTTTGGACCTCCAAGGTGGAAGGTGTACTCTTCCATTGAGTGTGTCAATCGGCTCACTGGGGGATGAATCCAAAAGTGCACCCTGGTGAGTAGTGTAGATGGAGCTCAGTTTTAATAACTCCAGTTGGATCATGAAACTCACAAAAACAGCTTTTTCTTTCCTTCAGATCTTTTTGGAAAAGTAATTGTTTTTGTGCAGGTTTTTTGATTTCTTGGTTTCCATTTCTTAATCTAATGCCTCCAAATCCAATAAAGTTTGAACACGCTTCTCACCAGTGGCACTCTGCTTTTTAGCAAAGTGTTAGGCCTAGGATGTGAATTTCAGAAAGAGTTCTTGTAGAGTACATTTGACACGTACCCTACACAGTGACATCCTAGAAATCTGTGGAGGCAAACCATGTATTGCTCTATGGCCATGCCCCGTAGTGTTGAAAAATATGACCTTGCAGTAAGAAATATTGTACAGCTACTTTTAGAGTGGCTCTTGCAGATGACTGTTTGTGTTACTTTGTCTTTGCCAGTCCCCCCTCGAGTTTTCCCTCGGTGTCGGAGGACACCCTCCTGTGCATCTCTCGCTGGACCCGCCTCCGTTCCCTGGTGCTCGGCCACTTGCCCACCTTCCTCCATGGCCATTCCCTGGTAGCCATTGCCAAACACTGTAAGCAACTGAGACATCTTTCCCTGATCCACCTGGGTCGCAGCGGCCAGTGCCAATTTCTTGCGGGACTGTGCGAGGCGTTGTCGTTAGCCAACTGTCTGGAGGACCTCAAGCAAGTATCTTTTTTTTCCCCCTCATCACAGTCGAGTTTTCCAAGTCAGTTCAATTATGGTTAATAGCATTTGAAACAATCCGCCTTTGCAGCACTGCAGAAGTAGCCGCTTGATTTACATTTTAGATATTAATCCTAACAAAACTGGGGGGTGGTTGAGTTCTCCTGTCTATATTTTCTCCTATGGCTGATGGCTCAGTATACTAATGCTTTGATAATGCTGAGCCATCAGGCATTTTGCAGCTAATGCCCAGCAGCCAATCTGATGCAGTTTTTATTTCAATCCAAATTGCGCAAACCGTTCTCACAGGGTTTCAGTTATTGAGTATGTCCATGAGGAGGTCCCCTTTTTTCCCATACACGAGTGCCTCATCTTCTTTTACGGGATGTCATCGCTGAGACTGGTTTGTAATGCCAACATTCTTGTGGGTACTTCCCATCCAGATGCCCAACAGTAGAAAAATAGAACAAATATAAACAAATATTGAATCCATAAGTGTTTGTGGTGGACTTTTCTACATTTGTTAACTTTTCCAGTTGGCTGTGCATGAAACGGAAGATCACCGAGGCATTCATAATGACTGTAAAGCTTAGACTGAGTTTCAAAAAGACTAATAATGGGGTTGAATCTTCCCCCTTTATGAGAAAGATAAAATATTTACTCAGAAAACGATTTCAAACGTTCAAACTGTCTGAGACAGTAACATATTTATTAGGCATGAAAGTAAGGTGCGAATAAAGTGTTGTGGATTGAGTTGAGTTGGGTGGATCTTTTTTTGTGGATGCAGCCTGGTCTGTTGACTTGCTGCCTGTGTACCGTGCTGTACATTATTCCAATTTCTGAAATGTGCTCTTTGCATCAGGTTGGAGCATGACAACATTGACGGCGTGTCGCGGTTGTTTCATGCATTAGAGAAGTGCCCATCCATTACAAGGCTCTGTGTTGTCTCCAAGAATGGAAGGTGAGTTGAAAAACTTCAGTAAGTGGTCATGATTATCTTTATGGTGTAATTCAGCTAACAGAGGTCATTACTATGGTGCCACAACTCTCCTGGACGGGTAGTGTGCACGTATTCGCACACCTGCTCCACCTATAGGGTGTCGTGATTTGCCAAATGCATGCAAATGCAATCAGAACATGCAGTGCCACCCCGGTTATGGCATTGCCTGGAATTAGTCAGTTGAACTTCTGTGATGTTACCTGTCATATTTATAAGATGTGACTTGTTGGGCTCAGTACTCATTGCTTTGAACTGGCCGACCAAAACAGCAAGCTGAGCGGTCAAGTGGTAAGATAAGAGGTCTACACCTGTACGTAGGAGGTGATGAGTTTTAGTCCCACCCACCTAAGCTTGTGAATTTTTTTTACAAGCTCCCGGAAAGCACTTAATTTTACAGTGTTATACTTTAATTACGGGCTATACTCCCAAAATGAAGAAGCAATTTAACCTTTTCTAATACAGAATAATCTCTTGTGGGGTAATTGACTTGTTGTAGTTACCAGCTGAATTCAGCAGCCTTTTTTTTCACATCATCAATAATTTCGGCTTTATTTGTTTATTGTTTTTTTCAAATTGTTTTACACGAAGGAAAGCATAAAAATTCTCAACTTATCATGTTTATAGCAAAGGAAAGTGTAAGACATTCAAACAGATATTGAAATCCTAAAACAAGAAATCTGATGCAAATTCGCAAACCCAGCCTAGTCAAGTTGGCATGATGAGCTGTGTTTTTTCTTTTCTTTTCCTATGCATCGTCTTCTCAAAGTGTGAAGCTAGATGATGTGATCAGGTTGTTTGACCACTGTCCAAAGCTTGTTGTGTTGTTTCTGCTGTGCTCTCTGACGGTCGCAGCATGTAAGAGTCTAAAACAGGAGCTCACTCTCAGGTAAAAACAAGCCCCAGTAACACCCTCTGTTGGCCTAACACGGTGGAATTGGGTTGACAGAGTTTGTTTAATATTGTCCCACACAAGAAGGACATGGGACATGTAAAAATCTGAGACAAAACTGGATGCACAAAATTCCTAGAGGGTTGTTTAAGGGGCACTGCTAACTTGTACATGTCGATGGGTCCATTCCCAACTTCTGGTGTTTTATTTTTTCATGTTTTGATAGCTGCACGAGATTTGTGAACAGGTAGTGAATTATTTCTTTGTTAGTGAACTGATGACCGGCCATAGTTTTACTGGCCGCTTGTTGGCAAAATTGGAGTGATGTAGAAAGAGCAGGTGTCTCGTAACATTGCTGTGTTCCTTTTTCAGGTTTGGGGCTGATCGGCTAGCACTGCGCCTCGCCATTGGTAAATATCCGTCCAACAAAGACTCGCTCAAGGAGTGCCTCAAGGGAATGCCTGACGTCCACATCAGGGAAGTCTTCCTGGGCAGTGAGGTAGCTGCACCGCCCTCATGGGATGAACTGCAAGCAGACATCCAACAGGAGGCCAGGGAGTAGACTGGATGACCGACCTCAACCAGGAAGCATAGACTTTGCAGTCAATTTCACTGTTCTTCAGTGCTTGGAAATGGGCCCGATGTAAACTGTATTTGTTTAGAAAAGATATAGGGGTTACCAAAAATCATGGTATACTGCCTGTAACCGGTACTCTGTGTTTGTTTTTGCTTAGCACATAAGTTGGCCACACAATATTTCTTGCCGTGCAGCTCTGTGAAATGGGTTCTTGTTAAAACCTGACTTAACTCCAGCAGCCAGTTTCAGAGGCCTTTACCCTATGACAGAACTTCACTCACGCCTTAATTGACTGTGTTACTTGTGCAGTTCAGAAACGTCTTATGATAGTAATGAGGTGCCTTTCCATTTGCACGTCAACACTTGCACAAAGCGTTGTGTATCCGTCAAAATTGCTCCCAGGGCGATTTTGATGGCTGAACACAGCCCACACGTGTGTTATGTTAATGGAGTCCATTTTTGTGTCTGTGAAAGCGAAACACATGAACACATTGTGTACGCAACGCACCCAAAACGTACATATGTAAAGGCACCGTTGGCATACCTAAAACTTATTTCAAAACCGTAATTTGCACTCCCTAAACATATGACCTGATAAATGATTGGCGATATCCAATATGCAGATATTTTAACTTCAGAAACCTCTCAGGAGTAGGACATGAGAAACTCACCACAACACATTGAAAGTACTTGCAGGTATTTACATGCACTATGTGCAGAAGTATACATTCCAATATGTTATTGTTGAACATTAAGGAGGTGCTCTCAGGAACACAGAAAAAAGATCGCACACAGCAGACTTTAAAGAGAAGAGGGTATTTTTTCTAAGAATACAGCATCATGTATACATTAATTGTTCCACTTCACATATGTAACCCTTCTCTGATTTGAGTAAGGCACCTTTTTCTGGCCTCAAATAAAGATGCTCATGTCGGTTGCACTAGTTGGTGCAATACTGGTTTCTATAAACTTTAAGTTAAGAACACACAATTTTCTCGCTTCCTGTTTCATTAGTTCTGTCCTTCTACCATTGAAAAAAATTCTACTGGGATGGAAACACCCTGCTAATTTTCAAAGTTTGAAAAAAGCGTTAATAACACTATCATTGTTTGTGGAAAAAGTGTACATCTTTTGAGTCTGTTTTAATGATGTGAAATTCCAATTTTGACCAGCAAGGCAGAGGTTTGGCACTGTTGAACAGTCTTCAATTCCTTAACTTCCAGCCCTGACGAGAGAGGCAAAGATGCTGTCCTCTTGAGCCAGCAGATTCTCGGGCGTGTCATACTCGGCGATCCGACCCTCGTTCAGAACCAGGATGTGGTCTGAGTCCAGGATGGTTTGAACACGGTGCTAGAAGATATTAAAAAATATACGTATTTCAGAGCGCAAAGTTCTTTAAGTGCTGCCATAATCATAAATATACTTTTTTACAAGGACACTATTATTGAACATCAGAGCGATGTAAATATTAATTTGAATATCAACCATTTAATTCATTTGGTTTTACTTTAAATTGATAACAGACTTTAAAATATTGATTCATGTGTGGCACATAAATATTTTCACTTTGTTGCTTGTTTGAGTTGCTATTTATTATCGGGAAACCAAAAAGTACTACTGGTTGTGGCTGCATATTTCCTAGAGTCAAGGTGATGACACGTGAGAGAGTATGCTGGAGAAATAGCCCTCTACTGGTGACGCTACGCTTTATGTGTGTGCTTTCCTATGGAGCTTATTAGAAGACTGGGGGCCCCACTGGCTCCGCAGAAAAGCACGTCAAGAAAATGTGGTGTCATCACTATGGAGGCCTACGGAAGACTCCGACAACAGTTACTAGTGATTATTATTGTATATATAGACAGGCTGAGCACAGGAAACAGCAACTGCAAGTGAAAACGCGGTTTGGGATTCTTCATTCAATCAGCCTTTTAGTTTCTTTGCCTTTTACCCCTTCGAGTCACAGAAATGGCTTTTTCAGTGTTTGAGTCCACAACTTTGTTTTCCGCATTCTGACGAATCATTCAAATGCACAAAATACAAGAAGCCATCATTAAAATCTCCAGTGTACTTACAGCTATCGTGATGACTGTGCGATCTCTGAAGGCAGTGCGGACTACGTCTTGGAGAATTGCATCCTGAAAGAACAGGACCCCAAAAAATGAATGTTTTTCAATCTAAAGAATTAACTTTGTCGAATCATTTTAATGTGACAAATGAAACAAGGCAAGACTCACCGTTTCCAAGTCGATAGAGGCGGTGGCCTCATCCATGACAAGAATACGAGTCTTCCTCAAGAAGGCACGAGCTAAGCAGAACAGCTGACGCTGACCCACGCTGAAATTCTCACCTCCCTCTGTCACCATGGCATCTAGAAATGAATTAAGCAATTTAAGTATAAACTGCTTCCGCTTGCGAGGAGGAGTTTTCAATCCTTGGTGGGGGAAGAATTCAAAAGTGGGTCTCTGTCATCCCACAAAAAACATCATTGAGTCCGCTGATTTGTATTGTCAAAAAAGGCTAAATTACAGTCCACTCTCAATAGAAAGAACACTGTTATAACAAAAACCTGTCATCAAGAGCAAATCGAGCAACTTGCTTTTCCAGTCTCTTCATGTATCAGTTCATCCAACAGTGCATTAAGCGCCAATTACAGGATAAAGTGATAATTAAGAAGACAATGAAGAAATGTTCAGTTTTAGTGGTGGGAGGAAAACCCAGGATGGACATTCAAGGGAAAAACCACGGAATCAGGCAGGGACTGAAAACCCACTCCACATGCTAACCTAGGTGAGATGTGATCGAACCCGGTTCGCAGAGGTTGAAAGGCAAGAAAAGACCCACTATACATCAACCTGACTCCCCCCAAAAAATAAAGTCCTGCGTATAACAAAGCAATTTGTCTAGTGCCTGTAACTTTGTTATAACAAGAGTTGATAGTACTCTATCCATTGCAACCAATTTACCCCTTCAAAACAGGCACCTCAAACTTCCATCCCATGTTCTTCCCAGATCCTAGATGTACTCCTAGTTATCATTGACTCAAAGTAGCTTCTGGCATTGTTCAGATGTCGCTTAGTAACAGCTAGCATTGTTTGTCTTACCCAATCCCTTTTCCAGGTCTGATACCACGTCTTTCAGCTGAGCTGTCTCCAGGGCTTCCCACAATGCACTGTCGTCATGTGCATGCTGTGCATCAAGGTTAAATCTACGGATGAAAACCCGAACCAAACATGTCTTATCAAAAGTTGACACCACCTTGTTGGCGGTAAACTTTTCAGTTGAGGTTCTGACGTGTGATCCTTTCTGCAGTGTTGATTGTGTTTTGCAAATCTTCTGGGACTCATGCCAATTGTTACTGAGTGGGTATCTTGCGCTCAAAAAGAGAGAAAAAAAAAAGAAGTGGTGACAGTTTTAGAGGTGGAAGGAAAAACCTCAGAAGAATCTTCTTTAGTGAAAGCCAACATAACCAGGTAAGGACTGAAAGCTCATCCACATAAGGACTGAGCTTGGAATCAAACCCAGGCTGCAGAGGTTAACGTCTAGAAAAGACCCGCTATGCCAACCTGACTCCCTAAACCATAAATAATATTGCACCTGATGGTGCCAGTGAAGAGCACAGGGTCCTGAGGAATGATGGCTAGACGGCGGCGGACATCAACCAACGGCAGGTGGGCAATATTCACTCCATCTATTGTGATACTTCCTATGGAAAAAAGAAGCAAGTCTACAGATAAGTCAGTGAAACTGTGAAAGTTTCCTCAAGCCCTGTTTGACCTTTGGGATCAAAATTGTAGGCCAAAGAGAAGGCAAAACAAAAGCAGAGCACTATTTGAGAGCCTGCCACACATGCTTGCATTATAACCTCCATATTTTCCAATTACCTTCAAAAGTCTGGATGATTCGGAAAAGAGTTAGAGCCAGAGAGGATTTGCCGCTTCCAGTCCGACCACAGATTCCAATCTAAAACGAATCAGCAAAAATTTGTTTTCATTTCTATACTGCCACCATTTGACTGTTTCAGCTTAACACACCATGCTGCATAAACTCTGGGTTATATGAGGCAGCCTTTGACTAAGATACCATCTTCAACTTGAGTTGGGAAAAATCAATTGGGAGAATAATGCATTTTTGATGACGTCATTTTGAATTTTTAAACATTCAGAAAACTGAATACCCTTGTGGCCAATGTGTTACAGGTCCATTTTTATTATTAGCTGGGGGGAGTAATTTCCAAATAACTAATTCTAAATTTACATGCCCAAGCTTGTAATAACGAAAATATGAACAAACTATCAAATATGCCATCCATATCCATCAATCTGTTATCACTCAATCATTTGTCTAACTTATAGCCAAATTGATTTTTTTTGGTAACAACCAAACATTTTGAACAGGCCACAAAACTTTGTTCACCTTTTCACCGGCATTGAAATGGATGGAGATGCCATGCAAAACAGCATCCAGGTGCGAGGCGTAGCGGGCCGAAATGTTGTTGTAGACAATGTTGCCCCGATTGGGCCAGTCAGGGCCAGGGTTCTGGATGCCTGTAATGATGAAACACTGAGTTAATGCTAAATATCAAGAAAAAAGTTTCAACCATATGTATTTCAGGATAGTTATAAGAGTTTTAAGACAGTGATGAGTGGTTTAAATTTGAAATGGGTCGGGTGGCCAGGACGACCGAAGTTTTGCAAGATTATTTCACTTGACTAGCAGTCCAAACACTGGGTTCTATTAAAGACAGACTTTTAAATGTTTGGGGATAGGTTTATACAGTTTCAAGAAATGTTTCACCTGGTTCCTGATTACTAAGAATTTTTGATAGTTTTATCTCTTTGAGAACTTCTTACAAAATGTTAAAACAAATTACCAAATTTTTGTTTGAACTTCAATCAAGTTACCAAAATTTGCTGAAATCAATTCTGAATCACAACTTCTTTTCATCAAAAATGTTTGATTCAACACAGACTTTAAATTGATAATTCAATAGTCTTTTGAATCATGAGGGAGGAGTGGAAGAAGGGGAAGGCAAATCAGATGGGGGGGGGTGTTAGTCGGATACAAGATTTACCTCTGTATTCCTCAGTCTCAATGGCCTTGTAGTACTCCACTCGTTCCACCGCGTTCATCTGCATCTCCAAATCAGCAGACATACGGATCACCCAGTTCAACTGTGTTGCTATCTTGTAGGGGCCGAGGAAGATCAAAAATATGCTTCATCAGTTGTAAAAAAAACAAAACCCAGGATTTTTGCTTAGCAGATTACTAGATCTTTTTGAATTCAGGCGCAGGACTTCATCGGGCAAATGTGGATGCCATGGTCTGTAGCCAGATGGAAAACTTCCCACTACCCAGTCTTCTTCTTATCATGGGAGGGGGGACTTCATTTAAGGCGGATATCGAATGAGAGTTTATACAGCCTCTTAACTCTGCATGACATAATGCATGTCATAATCTGGTTTTCATCTGGCATTCACTCTAAATGACTGAAGCTGTTTTGATTTAATTGTACATTACATTGTAATTGGCTTGAAATGTGAAAATCCCTCCTGGCAAATCAGGATGTTATTCTTAAATCTGACCGCATGTTTTGGCAGATTTATTTCACATTATAGAAAACTAAAAAACAACAGATTACCTTGTTAAAGTATATGGATAACAAGCTGAATCTTTCACCATGTAAAAAGCACTCACATTTAAGGCATAGGTTATGGCAAGACCAACCAGGCTGGGGCTGAGGGAATTTGTGGTGAGTGCAGTGATCATGGTAGTCAGGCCCGCAATCAGAACAATGATGGCTCCGATCAGGTCCTGTGAAGGCAAAAGTCAGTGTGTTGAAGTTGTTGTGGGACCTGACCAAGTACAAGACCAGATGCAAGACCAGTAAATAACAGGTAAGGGCAAACAGTGACAAAGGAATACCTTTATTGCAGTTCATTTGGATCAATTTGTGATTCAGACTGGAGATATCTCATGTTAGTCTTGTGATATAAAGGTTTCTACTTTAATGTTGGCTACAGTGGGAATACTTCACCAGGTTTACTGGATGATAACAATCCGCAATGGCAACATTGACAGCATACCTCTCTTTGTCTGTTCACTTTGCGTTTCATTTTCCATTCACAACCAAAGTATAATATCAACTCAGACTGTGCTAGCTATGTTTGTGAAAGTTCTTGGGTCCACCATGTGAAACAAGTAGAAGTCTTTGAACAGTAAGACAACTTCCTTGTCTTAACTTTATATCTCACAGTGAAAAGCTCGGTCCCCAAATCCTAGAACATGATGCAAATGCTTATGCAAAGTAATTTCTGCAAAATAGCATGCATGCAACATGTAAGAGAGAAAAGAGATCAAATGATGTTGGCTGCAAGGCAACCAACCAATCAACTTCGAGGATTTAAATTTGTTCAGAGGCAAAAGTCATATGACTCACCAGTTTGCTAGCCAGCCACCTATTGCTAGTATTCAGGTACAAGAAGGTAATGTTGCTGCACTCAATCTTCTTGATGATCAAATCTTGGAAGCGACGCTGTTGCCTAAAATGGCCACAAAGGGACAGTAATTGTGGTCCTTCATATTGAAAATAGCACATCATTAAAAACTGAAATGAAGAAAGGACTCTAAAGCTATCCTGTTGGAGCAGTGGTTTACAGGTTTAGTCCTTGATAAGAGCACCCGTCGCAAACAGTGTAGCGGTCACCAGTCCACTGAAATTCAAATAAGCCAAAGCACAACTCAACTCATAAGCAGTGGTTACGGGTTTCCTTTTTGACTTGTGGTAAACGATGGATGGGGAGGCTTGTGATGGATTAGACAAGTCAACAGTTGACACAAACAGAACTGAAAGAATTATTAGCAATGACTTTAACAAACGTACTTGTAGGCTCTGATGGTGGATAATCCTCCCAGTGATTCAGAGAAGTGTGCATAAACTGGTGACTTACTGATGCTGTCCAGACGTTGTAGCTCCCTGGGAAAGACCATATCAATTTGTCAACAGAAAGTTCTTTTTTAGTGAGGATGCCTCTTGTGGCATAAATATATATATATCCATTAGCTCTATCGATCCACTCCAGTAGCCACTGGCCAAACAGCTCAAATCTCAAAGAATTGAATCAGAAGTTTGAATGGTAAAGGAAGAGTGCATTTCATCTCCGAGGACTGAATCTGTGAGATTTGAAGCTGAGGTCCAGCAAACCAGCTCCAAAGTCTTCATGAAAATTTACGCAGGATGAGGATCAGTGTCCTGACGAGGGTATCAGAGCTCACCTTGATGTCATAATGAAGACCTTCATTATCAGCAGGTAGAAGATGACGATGGGGATCAATGCAATAGCAAAGAACCAAACCACTACGATGTTGACCACCACGGCCGACACGCAGCTCAGGCCATTCCGTATGAAAGAAGACAGAGTCAAGCCCAGTTTCTGTTGAGGAAAATTGGGCAATCTGGTCCGCCTCATAAAATGGTCATAAAATTTGAAAAAGTCATATTTGCATTTTTCCTCAGAGATTAAGTTCTTTAACCAAAACTCCTTCATCTAACACTCTTGACAGGATTCTTCCTAAAGCCTGAAAAATCATCCAACATGCAGCAAAAATGTGACACATGTCTGCACTTCAACATTCAATATCATCTATGCCAATTAGTAACAGTGGGCCGTACCAATCTAAATCCTTCGATATCCTCCAATAGATTTTGAAAGATCCAGGAGAAAATATTCAGGGCCCTGTACAACTATACACACCACAGAGCATACAACCCCAACAAAGGCGTTGTACAAATCCTATCCCTAGTGTTAATCATAAACCATTTCCTGACATGAGCTATCGGCTACTTTACCTGATCAACAACATTGGTGTCTGACGAAAAGCGGTTGAGAATTCGTCCAATGGGAGTGACATCAAAGAATCTGCATCGTGATAAATGTACAAACTAGCTCATTCAAAGATGAATACAATAAATTATATATACAAGCATGCTCACAGAATCGATGCATCACGGATATACACCATGCCAAACTTTCGAACATCCCATCCACATATTATGTTACTTAATTAGCTGAAAGCACGCACACAGAATTCATGTCACTACGTATGCTAATTTTACCCTGCAACAATCAACAAAGAGGAGCCCATACCTGGCAGCTTTAATTTGAAAATCATTAAAAGAAGAATGGCCAATTACCACTTGCAAGCTCTGAATCACTGCAAAGCACTCAAGGACATTGAGTGTATAGCTACGAACATTTTCGTCAGTTGAAAGTTTGGAAAACAAGCATCCTTTTTTAATAAGGACCACAGATTTCCGTTCAATTTGTTGAATACTTAAATGCCTCTAAAATTCCAGGCCATTTGTGGGTAATTTTGCATTACAGTGCACTGATGTTGTTACCTTGGTGATGGAATATTCTTTTTTCAAACTTAATCTCAGAGAACAAATCGATTAGAGAGGCCGGTTTTTATGCACAATTAGCTCAAAGTATATTTTACATCACGTGTACTGCCGGCCTAAGACAAAGTTTAAAGCAACGCATTTCACTGCACCAATTTCCTAAAACAAGGAAGCGAATTTATTTTTTTAGAGGAAGAGGAGCTGAACAAAACTTGTCTGAAGTTACCTTAGGGGAGCATGCATGACCGTTCTCAGCATGCTGTTGTGCAGTCTCCTGGCAGCGTAGAGAGATGCTATGTACACCATAGCAGTGGCTGCTGCACCAGCTACGATGCTGCTCACAGACAGGCCTGCATAGCCACCGAGGTAGTACAGCAGAGAATCAGACAGCTCTGCCTGTAAAAGAACATGGATGACGATCGAGATTACCACCCCGGACCAGTTTTTGCCGATGATGCTGAGGGCCTGATCTTCGCTGAGAGAGCCACTGCCTCTAGGAAGCAGTAGGCCTAATCCCAACAGAGATCACACGCAAACTGAAGTGCTGAACATCCAGATGCAACAGTGACACCCCCACATGCATGTTAGCACTAAATACGCACAGTGGTTAGGACAGTACTTTACTGTCACATTGTAGGATCCCCCGATCACAAACTGAGCAACGAAAATAAAACTAATTTGGGCCAAAGTACAATGAAAAATGCGCCTTGGCCGTTTCCCAAACAGGTTAATGCCTGTACAACTGCAGCTGTTTGCTGTCTTGTATGCATACCCAGTGGCAAAAACCGAAGTAGTCACCACAAGTAATGTCAAACTTCCACCAACACAACCACCGGAGCACCGGAGCGCAACGGAGCCACACCGAGGACACGCTCCCTAACGCCCATGGAGTGGAGCGTGCGATGCCCGCTGAGGTCACCCGTACTGTGTCCGCAATACACGGTGGGGGACACGCGGAGGACGCGGTCCAGCGGTATATAGCGGACTCTGCAGCATCCAGACTTCAGTTGCCTGATGAAGGCTAGCAGCACCAGCAGCTGAAACGTCGCTCCAGCAACACGACACCGCGAGTCATCGATTATCTTTTTTCCCGTAATGTCAAACTTGGACACAACCTATTTCAAAAATAGTAAAAGCAAGTCTGGTCCGAACCACTTTGGCTCATTAGGCCGGTGTTTATCTTCGGTTTCCTTGGCATGAAACGACTGAAAATATTTCTATTCCCCCTGGATGGTATGCCAGTTTACTGCAGGTTGCCTCCCCAGCTAATGCTGGTGCCCATTTATACTCCTGGGTGGAGAGAGGCAAGCAGGGGTGAAGAGGCTTGCCAAGAGCCACAACATAAGTGCCCGGCAGCTGGATTCGAACTTCAAACCCTATGATTGGAAGCCACACAGACCCTTATCACTTGGCCACATGCCCCATTTAATTCCTTCGAAAATATGTAAAACTCTCTTAATTTAGCCTCAGCCCTCAGAGAGGCCTCGAAAGGACACTTAAAGAAATTTCAAATTCCCCCCCCAAAAAAATACCCCTTTTGGGTCTGATGGATCTGTCCTTGTCTGGAAATGCCTTTGCAGGTAATGGAAGGCAATAATTATTAGAATTCCTTTTTGATTCTCCTACCTGTGTGGCATTGGTCATGTTGGCCCCCGCTTCGGACCACTCTGAGAGCCAGAAATTTGTCCCGATGCCGAGGCCGCTCTGAAGGAGGGACAAGAGGAGGATGAGTGCACAGATCCAGTAGCCCAGAGCCTGGGCATAGGAGAAGTAGACTCTCCAGGACACAGAGCCCTCGGCTCTCTCCTCTTTCTGGACTAGGCGACCTGACGTTGAGGCTTGGACTGCTGTTTCAATGGTGAGCATATGACACAAAAATATAATTATTCTGTGTTTGTTTCTTTTCTGCTGATCTGGATCTCAATCAGTGATCCCAAATCTGGTTTGCACCATTTCTAAGGCAGGATCTGGTATGAGTGAACCAATTTCCAATCACTGTCCTCCAGGCCTGCATGAAACCAACAGGCCCCTTGTGTATATTTCCTCAAAATCAATGCAGGGTGAAAAGGTCTAAAAATAAAACTGTCTCTGCTTTATGCTCTGCAATGCCTGGATAAATCCCCATTACCTGATTGGTGGATTGTTGATCACGTCACAAATGACTTGTTCCAATGCACAGTATTGTTGCACTGCATACAAATGGCAAGTTCAATGCTGCAGGTGAATGGCTTATTTGATTTTCCATCCATCAATCTCCATAAATTGTGACATGTACTGTAACGTGGCTCTTTATACAATTACACCATGGTTCAAAGGATTTATTCTGTGGGGATTTATTCAGCATTGTATTCAGGTTGATGAAACTTTTTTAAACGTTTCAGCCAATGAATGTTTCACATTTGTGCGATGTAAACAATAAATCTATACTGTGAATATTCCATTTAATGTTCCACTGCAATGTTCTGTTCAATGAAGTGAAACTCCATCTGTCACAGCGGAATGGAATGTTCCATCTGTCACAGAATGAAACTTTTCTTAACACTGCACTCACAAATATTATGAAACCATTCTAATGGCATAAACCTACCCTCTTCCTCCATCCGTTTGGCTTCCTCCAGCTGCTTGGAGACCTGCCGTTTGAGTCTGGCACGTTCTTCAGTCGCATCCATTCCTGTGTCGGTGCCCGACAGCTCCGACTCCGTCTCAGCCATCATCTTGGCAGTGGCCCGCCAGTTGGCCACCAGTTCTGGGTTCTCTTCCTGGATGTCTTCCACAGCACCCTGATGCAGGATGTGGCCGTCCTTCATGTAGACAATCTGTTGTCGAGAAAGTCAAATGCAGTCTGATTGAAAACTGCATCGATGGAAGCAGAGGCTTATTTCATTATATATTAACGGTAGATATTAAGCCACATCCAAAACAGGCTTCCAGGCTATGGCTGCACATCAGCCTAATCCAAAGTATGTGTGGATGACGAGACCTTGGCCTAGCTCCATCCACAAGATTCACATGCATGATGCAGCCATATTTGCAGAGAACAGAAAATCTCTGCTACAGTTTTATGTAGTATAAAATCCCATGAGAGCCATTTTTCACTGGTTGACTAATTCTGCTTGAGGTTACAATCTGCATTGAAACACTAAGAAGTGTTTCAATGAAACTAGTCCCAGAAGTCCAAATCCTGAACTCAAGACTACCAATTATTTAGTTATGGTATTTACTAGGGGCTGGTTCAACTAATACTTTTAGCTACAAGGCCGGATCACAGAGGATGATACAATGTGGTCAAGCCAAAGCCATGTACAGATAACTTAGGCAGCCACAAAACAATCCAAATCTGACCAAGGAGCACATGGCAAGAAGGGAAAGTGTTGATTTTACCAGAGGGAGGAAAACTGGAGAATTCCCTGAGAAAAAATGTTGTAGATTGTGAAAATTTCTAGACTGCACTGTCTCAATGCTCCACCAATAGACCAATTTGGTCATTTTGGTAGTCTTTTGTGAGATCTTTGTTCCAGAGTACATTGATAACTAGAATGCAAGTCTTGTTATTTGGCTATCTCTCCCAATTGCCAGCATCCAGCATTACATAACTTTGATGAAGACATTACATAATTTTTATTTGTCGTACCTTGTCAGCTTTCTCCACATACTGGATCTGGTGAGTGACCAGGATAACCGTGCGCCTGCTTTTTCTCATCAAGAACCCCTCCATGCCTTTCTTGAAGAGGTGACCGCCAACGTGCATGTCCAGGGCAGAGAGAGGATCGTCCTGGTACAAGAATGAAGACGACACAAAAAATCCTTAAAATGTCAGAAAGTACTGCAACTGTGGAGAGGTAAGGGCTTTACAAGAACCGGGCATGGGCCTGGCCACAAGTTTTAAGGGCCAGGAGGGGGACCGAGGCTCATGATGGTGGGGGATTCAGACGTCAACAGTGGCTAAAGCATATTCTTTTGAACAGGCAACTGAAATTCTTCTTTTCTCATTTTCTTTTTCCTTTCTGTTTGTTTCTTTTCTTCTTTCTCTCGGGAGGGGGGACACACAATGCCACAGAGGCTTTTCCATAAGGTTGAATACCTATGGAGCTATGGTGCCAGACCTAAGGCAAAATTCCCCGCAAACCGCCCCCTCTGTGAAATAAAATGGACCTGAAGTACTTCTGGAGGTACCACTCAGACACAAAAAAGCATGTTAGGCTAATTAGCTTTAATTTTCAATCAATAACACATCAATGCAAAGTTGAACTTATTTTTCAGAAAGGTAGTTTACGCATTACTGATGAAGGATTTCAGCACAGACAAAATGGAACTGGCACCTGCACCTGGCTTTTCCTTAACATGCATGTCACAACCCAATTGTGAATGTGTAAGCAGGCACTTGAACATGTTGCGCCTTCCTGGGAAACTATCTAAGTGCATGCATAACTTACTAAAATCACTACGTCATTGTAGCTGTACATGGCCCTGGCTACGCTGACTCGTTGCTTCTGCCCTCCACTCAGATTGATTCCCTTTTCTCCAATCTCCGTCTGATCTCCAGCAGGCAGGATGTCGATGTCTGGCTGCAGGGAGCAGGCTGATATCACCTTTCTGTATCTATAAATGGAATTGACTATAGGTAACTTGTGACCGCTTATTTTTCTATTTCTGATTTTTGAGTAATCACTGGTGGAATGTGTAGGATGAAATTTACCATTCAGTGAATAAGTCCGTGAAGATTGCCGTCTCAACACAATATAGCCTTTGGAAATTAAATTTGAATAAAATCTGGTACACTGAGTTCTTTAAAGTCATGTGAGCACAACAATTTGAGGTTGAGTTAATACTCACCAGTTCTTCTCAGAACCACACCTCATCTGAAGAGATAGCTTCCATGGTGTACCTGCACCAACTTCCACCATGCAAAGCTTCAGATATTATTTACTGTCGCTATATTACCTAGTGATTCAGGGCAAGCTTTTGATAAGTTACATAAGACGCCTTGAACCAAAGCAGTGTTTTCAATGGATAAAAAGGGCAAAAAGGAACCATGCAGCAGTCCATTCCAGTGATGGCGGTTGCTATGCAAAAGCTTGCCCCGAATCAAGAGGCATACCAACAGTGTCTTTACTCTAGGAAGTTTAAATTGTTGTGTTGATGTGCAAACAAATAACTCGGTCTACTAGATTTTATTTAAGTTTAACTCTCAAAAGACTTGTTGAACTTGCCCATCCTAAGTCTTTCAAAATCAATTGGGAGGTTGTGGAGGCTTTAGAAAGACACAACCTTGATGTGGGGCTTCATGCCCTCGAAGGTTTGAAGTACAACAAACATACCACTGTTGTAAAATTGCTGGATGTGGGAGAAGTTTGGAAGATACAAGTCACAAATTCCTGGTTAATGTAATTTTCTCTTCAAATTCCAAACATTTGGTTGGCATATGTTACTGTTTTTCCAAGATTACCTCGCATTAACTTAATTTCTGCTTGCCATATGGTTTTTCTAAATTCTCTACAAAGATGTGAAGATTTTCAATGGGCTGACAATCACCATTCTGTGAGTAAAATTCTGTGTTCTGCCTGTAGGTACATGTATGGCATCTTTAGTTACATAGATGCATCCTTTGAGGTATTTTTAAATATGCCAACCATTACAACAGAGTTATCTTTAACACTGGAGATTCTCATCCTTACTGTGATGCGCAGAGTCGTGAAATGGTGTCAGTGTAATAATCAAATAAATCCTGTCAGGAATCAACTAAAACCCTGGTGCAAATTTGAAGTATAAAGTTTTAAAGATTGGAAGTTGTAAAGTTATGGCTCATATTTTTCATGCTGGTGATGACAAAACATAGCTGAATTCCACTACTGTCTACGACTGTCATCACGTGAAAAGTGCCTATACATGTCACATACCTTTCGCTATCGAATTTGTCGCCAAAGAGAATATTTTCTTTCAGAGAAGCATTCAGCAGCCAGGCCTTTTGAGCTCCATAAGACACGGTATTGTGTTTCCTGAAATAGACAAGATACATGTGCCCTGCATGGAACGATGGTCAAATATTTGTCCTTTTCAAATGGCTGATATGAAAATGAGATGGCAAAGTTTTCCTGTGGCCTTCCTGGACAACACAGCACTTCATCATGCCCAAGCCATCCGGATTTACTTTCATACTGAGCATGTGGCTCCAATTATCTCAAATGTATAAAGGGAAATTTTAACTTGAAATGTTACCAGTGGCTGTATCTAGTGACATCCCACAAAATTACGACGGTATTAGCCACTATTGGACTCTTCCACACCCCTTTCTTCACCCCACATTGGAGAAGTCAGTGGGGAGTTTGGATAAACATTGGACAAGAATCCACTATATAGAAACTAATGGAGGAATACGACAGACAGCTCGTGAAGAACATACAACTGGTTTGTGCACACTTAATTGATAATTACAGAGCAGACTTTGTGATGCTCATGCACTACGCACAAAATCCACATAAGATGTGTTTACTACCTGTTCCACTGGACTTGGCCCGAGACTGTGGTCATCTCCCCCAGGATGGCTGACAGCAAGGAGGACTTGCCTGAACCTACCTGACCCACCACCATGGTCAGCTTTCCTGTCGGAGAGAACAAGATGCAACCTTCACTTGGGACTCTATAGCAACAGATTCAAGTGATACCGAAGGAAAGAAACTGGGAAATACCTTAAGAGTGATGAGACCGACAGTTGCAGGGAAATCGTGGAAACTTGCTAAGACAATAAAGCAGTTTTCTTTGATAAGAATGGGTCCGGAGCAGAAATGTAGCACAACAAGGCAGTGAAACACCTGTGACAGATCTACAGGTGAGATTTTCCAACCGAAAGCTCATTTAATATTGAAGCCCTTTCTATCCATACAGTAAACTCAATTAAGATGGCATTTTTGCAACTTAAGGCCATAAATATGAGTGAAAGAACTTTTCTCCTATATTTCTAGTGTATTTTAGAGCTCCTTGCAGATTTAGCCACCAGAATTTTTAAAGTGGCCTATTGGACTTCTCTGAGCCTTTAGCATTGTAAAATTTTTGGTTGCGTATGCAATTACTGACCTCAATATAGTAAGTAATTCTAGAGCAAAAAAGAGGATTTTGAAATAGAGACAAAGGAAATAATAAGTAGTACCATTACCCTTAGCTTGACTTTCATTTTTTGCTATAAAACTTCTGTTGCTGTTTGTGAAATAAAATTAATAAATTAGTCAGTAATAAGGTTAGTAAAATTTCCATTTTCTTACAGCATAGATATTTTCTGACCTGCAGGTATATCCAGATTGATGTTGTCAAGAGTAGGCATCTTAGCATAAGTGTCCCACGTGAAACTTCCCTTGACCTTACCAAAAAAAGGAGAAAAAAGTAGTTCAAACATTCAATTTTAGGATCTGATTTGATACATGCACTGTAGCCTACTTCAGCAAAGCCCTTGAGATTTTTCATTACGTGTATACCTTTTAGTCCACAAACTTTAAACTCAGTTCATGTTATCAGGTATACTTTGAGTACGTACAGTCCAGGATATGCAAACATCTAAAGGTAAGAGCAGTTATCCCCCACAACTTCCAACAAATAGTGGCACTGGACATTATTTCAAGTAAAATGCACTGCCCTGTTGGCATCAAACTGATGCTTACATACACTAGTTATGGTTAACCATAGTTTAACTAAACTGAGACCTAGGATCAGTAGCCCCCTACAAATTCCCGGTGCCCCCCAAGTGTACCCCCCTCACTAAAAAAGTGGACGAATGGATATTGAACAAGGCTAACAAAAGCTTCCCCCCAAAAAAAACCACACCCCTTAAAGCTGGTGCCCCATATAAGATGCTGGTGTTCCCCCTTGGGCCCCCGCCCACTAGTAAAATCCTAGCTACGTCATAGGATGCATCTACTGATCTTAATGAGCAATTGGAATCAGAAAGGGGGACAATTCCGGGACTGGTTCAAATGACTGGGCAAAATGCGAGTGCAGCAAATGATGATAGTGTTCGTTTGTGCACAGTTCAACTTTGGACGTTAACATAAGCCAGCGCAAGCTTGCATGCTAGTGGTCAAATTAACTGGAGTTAAAGTTGAGTTAAAGCTCGAGGTTCCCCCACCATGTAGGTTGGAACTTTCAACCAGGCTGTCATGGGTACAACTTCATTGTCAGAACAATGACACGGGATGACATTTAATTTCATGTGGACTTTTCACAGCAGTAAGATTCCCGCCAAATTTTGCAATGCCTGAACCTCGTTGCCGAAATTTGGAATGACACATTTACAGGGTCACAACCACAGGTGAAACTACCTACCCTGACTGCCACGCCGTCTGGTACATCCGGAACAATGGACAAGGGAGATTTGGCCCCAAATGTGCCATACTCATTGGACTGGTCAGCTTGGTCATCGTTGGCTAACAGATGCTGCTTAGTCTGTGGATTGCTCCGTCTTCTTTGAGGTGTTCCATTCTAGGTAAGAATTATTTTCAAAGGGGATATCTTGAATTATACATAGCCTTTATACAAGAACTATCACATCCTCAAAATTTTAGAGGTTTTCTAAATATCTTTTAAAATATATAAGATGTGACATAGCACATACCAAAAATGTAAACAACATTAAGATACAAAATAGTTGTGAATTCAAAAGCCTTTTTATTACTGCTTAAGAATGCAACATATCACAGCCATTTTTATCACAGCACAATTAAATTTCCCTGTAAACTCCAAAGACAACCGCACTAAAATTTCAAGAGTAAAATTTGACCATCAGGCAGAGTCAATAAATGATTCTAAGAGTTGCAAATTCTTCAACTCACACAATGCCGTTGATGTAAGTTAAAAATCTAATTTACGTACCAGTGCGTTTGTCCACAAAGGACCAAGTAGATGCTTGTGAAAACTCTGTCAACTATGCACTCCCTGGTAACAACTACCAAAAAAGTTCAATTCCTGAAAAAATGTTGGTTTTACCTCCTCCCTCCCCATAGCCCAAAACTCTGCCTCTCCTTCCTGCCTCTCGATCTCCGGTGCCTCAAAGAAGGCCCTCAGCCGGCCCGTGCTGATGACAGCATTGATGTGGTAGACAAAGACATTGGGCATGACAAAGAGGGGCGTGACCATCTGGTTGAAGACCGAGAGGGCAGCAAAGGCAATGTCCGGGGTAAGAGGCTTGCCCGTCAGCTTAGTGTACAGACTGTAGGACTGTGAACAAGGTTGAATGAAAAACCCTGATTAACTCTAACACTTTGTATTCTCCAAATTCCAAAATTGTTGTCACATACCTCTAAGGGCTGTACTAGGGTAAAAAAACCAACACAGAGGACCATCTGT